TCTCGACCTAATACGTATCGGCAGTTCTGTTCTCTTTGCTTATTTTTGGACCTTAATTGTCCTGAATCATACCAACTGCAATGAACCCACCTCATGCAGCATATCGTACAGGTGGATACATATGATTATTTTGGGCGTCCAAATAAGATGTGTTTACGTGCTTACGCCGTTTCGTATCTCACACGCACAGCCGGAATGAACTCTGTGAAGCGAACGCTCTACCGTGACATACCTTTCAACTATCACGTGATCCCCTGTCGATGGAAAGAGGTGTGTATTAGTAGTCACGTGGCTGCGTGGATTGCACAGGCATAGCAATTGCGCAGAGTCTACTGCTGCAACTAACACGTCTGCCCTCACTTCAGTCGTGTTGTTGTTGTTGTATCCATGAACCCCGGATAGATTTGTATAAGTTATAAGAGTCAATAGATTGGCAAGGGATGCACGCATGGGATATTACAAGAGAACTTCAACCTGCTTCCTCAGTATCGCACAGGCCGAATGATGATCCCATTCCCCATACAAATCAAAAAACTATACCAGTGTGAATATTGGAGCTTCGGTATACATTGCCTGTATTGTACTGACTGGGCTGACAATCCCATCCCCCGTACAGGCAGTTAAACCGATAGAAATCTGCATATGTGCTACTATGGGGATGTCGGCGTACGTATGATATCCCATGTTCACCATACAGGTCCTCAAAAAGTTAGACATCTATAGTTTAATTTATATTAGAACTTTTGTTTTGGCTGAGATTGTAATAAACAGTCTGAATTCCCATATGTGCAAGGCTCAGGTTCTCAAAAGAATCAGAAATCTATATCTGCATTTATATGGGAACTTCAGCGTACACCATCAGTATTGCACTGGCTGAGATGTTTTCCATACAATGTACAGGCTCTCAAAGATTTGGAGATCTTCCGCCTGGTCCAGATGTGTGCGCCTGTGACTGGCGGTTCGTCCGTGCGTGATTTTGTCCAAGATAGAGGCCTCGATATAATGTATGACCTATTTATATGCGTTGCATGTATAGTCCGTTGCAAACGTATACAATACCATGTCTACGTATATAGCATTCTGTATGTATGTATACTCCTATGCTTTGGACTATCGCTGATCTGTTCGCGTCTACATACGAAACACTTGAGTTGTTGTTTTTTTGGTTCACATCTTGTCATCTATTTGCGAGCGGCATGTACTGAAACTCTGGGACATTTGTTCTGATTCCTATCTGCATTGAACCCGTTCCAGAGACTAATTCGTCCGTTTGGAACTAGTGCATTCCACTTTGAACAAGTTAATCCCGCCTGAGACCAACTATCCTACTCCACTGGGGGAACTAATTACCTACGGATTAAGTATTAATCCAGCCCACTAGTGACTATTTCGTGTCCCTTGAGACTAATTCGTCTCTTTGGAACTAGTGCATTCCACTTTGAACAAGTTAATCCCGCCTGAGACCAACTATCCCACTCCACTGGGGGAACTGATTACTTACGAACACAGGTACTACATGACGGCCAGATTCCAAAAGTTCATCGATCAAGAAGCGGTGAAGGATCTCAACGCAAAGTATAACGCGTTCATACAGAAGTACCCAGACTTTGACGGTGAGGTGTCTATCCTGGCACACTCACTCGGCAGTGTTATCTGTCTCAATACACTGTAAGTGCACGGGGGTAAAGTCAAAGCACTCTGTTGTCAATTATTATTTAAGTTACCTTGGTATAGTATAACAACTGTTTATGTTAATGGGACAGTGGTCCGTGTCTCAATACGCTGTGAGCACTTGTCAAACGACTAACTGTCGGGAATAGCGGTTTATCTGCATCGTGACACCTCAGTTCCAGCTGTCTTGCATTCCCTTTACATATATGCGCGCTCCATCTACGACAGCCAGAATACACACACACATT